AGTTCTAAATAAACACACAGCTTTGAAAACAACTGAGCTAGATTTCCAAATTAATGACCTTAAAAGTCATTAGGCATTATTAGGCAGTCATGAAAGATATTTGAAATTCCACCTCAAAGGCTAAGAAGCAGACAAATAGAAAGCACTATCTGACCAACTTGAAAGTGTTCAGACTGTCACTGGAAATTTTATTCGTGTACTTTAAAGATTATTTATTTTTTGGCAGTTTCATACAGAGTAGATTGGTTAGCATTATGTCAAGTTGACACAAGTCTGATGGAGTCATTTGAGAAGGGGAACCTCAGTCGAGATGATGTCCTTACCAGATTAGCCTTTGGGCAAGCTTGTGGTGTATTTTCTTGACTGATTATTGGTGTAGCAGGGCCTGCTCAGTGTGACTGGTGCCACCCCTGGGTGCTATAAGAAAGCAGGTTGAGCAAATCATGAGGAGAAATCCAGTAAGCCACACTTCTTCATGACTTCTGCCCTAGTACCCATCTTCAGGTCCCTGCCCTGACTTCCCTGGAAGAAGGTGTAAGTTATGTGGTAAAACAAGGCCTTTTGCTCCCCAAGTTGCTTTTGGTCATGGTGTTTTATCATAGCAGTAGACAACCTAGCTAAGACACATGCTTGCAATTTATGTATATCATATTCACTCCTCAGTCCTGATTCCAACTGCTTTAGACCCCCATGTAGCCACAGTCCCCACTCTGACTCCTTTTCAACCCCCACCTCACTCCCAACTTCATGTTATCTTCTTCTTCCTGTTCTTATAATTCACCAGAGAGTGCTTCTCACAGTCACATGGTGTAGTAGGAGGCCACTTGTTTGTTCCTAGCCACTTACTCCTGAAATAATCACACAGAAACTGTATTAATTAAATCACTGCTTGGCCCATTAGCTTTAGCTTCTTATTGGATAACTCTTACATATTAATTTAACCCATCTCCATTAATCTGTGTATCACCACATGGCAGTGGCTTACCAGCAAAGTTTCGGCATGTCTGACTCTGGCTGAGACTCCATGGTTTCTTCCTGACTCCATCCTTCTTTCTCTTAGCATTCAGCTTAGTTTTTCCTACCTAGCTAAGTTCTGCCCTGCTATAGGTCCAAAGTGGTTTTTTTATTCATTAATGGTAATCACAGCACACAGAGGGAAATCCCACATCAACATGGGTGTAGAACCATCCACTAGAGCACGAACTACTTAGGATTTTACAGAGTCCACTATGATGTCATTTGGCTTTCCTCTGCTGTGAACACATCATTTACTATTCTCTTCACCTCTGTTTTTTTCTAATTATTAGTAGGGGCTGTTAAAGTAGTACCATTTAGTGACCACAAACTTGCTAACAAGAGCAAACAGGAACACTGATACATTGGATTTAGCTATAATGTTTATTTAAGAATATAATTAATATGATACAACAACATTGTATATATATTGCAGATTCACAATATCCATATGATAAGGTTTTCAGACTGTTAAAAAGTGAAAACTGGATTAGAAACTTATCCAAAGTCCATAGACTTCCATAGGCTTTCACTTTGGGATGTGTGCAATGCGGTGGGAGTGGGTTGACCTTCAAAGAAAGACTGTCTCAGGCTCACATTTCCTACTATGCTCTCTGGGTTTCCATTCTTCATTTTCAAAACAAGAATAGTGATGCCAATCATACTGAATTTCAGTAAGATTAGAGACAACGTGTACACATTTTTGAAGGTATGAATGAATGCTCAACAGAACACAGTTTTGTTGTCACCATTGCGAGAAGTGAACTCTCTGTGCTCAGAATATCTGCCAAATGCAATGCCTAATGGTGTGTGTGTGTGTGTGTGTGTGTGTGTGTGTGAGAGAGAGAGAGAGAGAGAGACAGAGAGAGAGAGAGACAGAGACAGAGAGAGAGAGAAAGACATAGGTAGGTAGGTAGGTAGGTAGGTAGGTAGGTAGGTAGGTAGAGAGAGAGCTCCAGCAGGCATAAACTGGAAATCTTAAGGAACAGTAAGTTTTCCATGATCAGAGAGTCTGAGGACTGATGAGAAGCCAAGGTCAATGGCAAGGGGTTTTGATCCTACTTCATGTTCCGGCTTGGTGGGAGCCTAGCCAGTTTGGATATTCACCTTCCTAGACATGGACGGAGGGGGGAGGACCTTGGACTTTCCACAGGGCAGGGAACCCTGACTGCTCTTTGGATTGGAGNGTGGGGGGAGGGGGGAGAAGGGTGGGGGGAGGGGGAGAAGAGTGGGGGGAGGGGGAAAAGAGTGGGGGGAGGGGGAGGGAAATGGGAGGCTGGGAGGAGGCGGAAACTTTTTTTTCCTATTCTCAATAAAAAAATAAGTTTTCCAAATGAGTTCTGTGGTACCCAGCAGGAGTGAAGGCATGGAGATTTAATGGAGCTTGGATCTCTACTCTCATCAACCAAGGCAAATTTGCTTCATATACATACTTTGTGTGGAGAATTTCCACTTAAGATAGTCATTTTAAAGTGAGTTTAATAGCAAAAATGTCTTAAAATGGAAATCATCAATATATTACATTTGATTACAATGAAAACAACGGCGATGCCCATCAGTCAAACCTCATGTGTTAGGTATCATTGTGACCACACTGTGACTGGTAAGGACTTAAAATGAAAATAGATGGTTTATATGCACGTCTAAATTTCTGTGATTGTGTATGTATGCATGTCTGTATGCATATACATAAAATGCATATATACATTTTGCCTGCTACAGTATTTTTGAATGAAAAATAATCCTGTCAATAATGTAACAGCTTAGAAAAGTCCTCAATTTTGAAGACCTTCATGAACACACCTCCCAGGTCTAAACTTCAAATCTAATTCTTTAAACATTAAGTGAAATCATTTTCTCACCTTTTTTAAATACTAACCCATAGCTATGCATAGCCAACAGCTAAGAATTCTCACCTCTCGCCACAGTCTCTTAATGAGTCAGCATCCTTCATTGGGTTCCTATTAAAATGAAGACGCGTGAAACTGGTTTCAGGCAAGATGAGAAAAATAAGACTGCTTCGGAATTTTTCACTGTAATTTCATCCCAGGGGCCCTAGAAATGCAGACACATGCACACTCACCAGCCATCGCGCGCGCGCGCGCGCGCGCGCGCACACACACACACACACACACACACAAAGGGCTTATAATTGTTATGTAAATGTATCTGTTAACTAAGGATCAGAATGCCAATTGTCTAAGAAATTTATATAATTGTAAGTCTGGGGAAAAATGCGTGATGGGAGAGAAAATACTAGAAAAATCTCTTAGAAAATGGCCCTGGGCTCTCTCGCATTCTGGAACTTTAGATCCTTTGCTGTCTTTTAACATTCATTTCATTTTAGCCAGTGGGGGGAAACTCATTTCACCCTAGAAAAATCAGAACCTTCCTCCCTCCCTTCCTTCCTTCCTTCCTTCCTTCCTTCCTTCCTTCCTTCCTTCCTTCCTTCCTTCCTTTCTTTTCTTTCTTTCCACGCCCTCCTCTTTCTTCCTCTCTCTCTTTTAAAGCAAAGAGTGCCCTTTCTCACAATACTAGCCTGGTGTTGACGGAAATCTGGGACACCTGGCTCAAATTCTTAGGCACATAGGAGCATTTGATGCTGTTTCCACCCCCCTGGCTCTTGGCACAAGGGGTGTAGTCGTAGCACACTGTGTCTGAAGACTTCCCTTAGCAACCACACACGACCTCTAAATTGACTTTTGTTCCCCATTCAAGGGAATCATTATTTCCTCAATTTTAAACAGTTTAGTTGATTGAATCAACCATATCATTATTTTAATAGGTCATTAGAATAAATGAAAAAATTCAAATGATTATAAAACCTGTGCTTTCTGCAATACCATCACAGCCAGAAGCCCTATGTCTATAAGCTAAGGCTGTGGCACAACTGCCACACAGTGCCATTCAAATGCCCCCCTGAAACTAGGATACAAGTAAATAAATTAGTCCAAAGAGAAATGTCTAGCTAACATAGTCAAGAGTTGAGACCACGCTGTGAAGGCAAGACATTAAACTAAGATTTGTATTAGTTTCCGCTCCCTGATAGCTCGATGGGTAGCAAGCAGTACAGAGGCATTAAATCTGAATCTCAGACTCTCCCTGCACAAACAGAAGGGTTCTGGCTTTATTAACGGTAAGTACTTAGTGTGCTGATTGGCATGTGATAACTTAGTGACAGTTCCAAATATGGTTCTGGTTCTTTTTGCTATGTGACAAGAGTTGTGCCCTGCTTGCTTGATAGACGCTGTCATGCAAAGTGCTTTGGCCTGTGAATTACGAGCAGAAGAGCTATATGTCAGTCTCCATAAAAACTAAAACAAACCTCGATTGGTTTGCCACACATTCTTCTCATTGTAGTGATACTTGTGGGCCCTCAGGCTGAGATAAATCTTGACTCTTATGACTTGGGCCACTAAGTCACCATACTGCAAAATAGACCTCCCCCATCTGATGGTCATAAAGTATATACAAGAGTTCTCGTTATGTTTAACTTTGAGGTTTTGGAGCTCTTTATTACTCCAGCATAACCTAGCATATCCTGACTGATACAGTGGATGTGAGCACCTTGGAATATATTAAACATTATTCCTATTCAAATGAAGAAAAGGCTAGTTTTGAAAGCTCAAAAAAAAAAGCCATTTTTGTTCCATTTAGATTATTAAAACCATTCTTAGGAAAATAATCTTACAATCTTGTCTTTTTTGGGACCCTGTCCCTAGATGAAAAGTGACAAGCCATTGACAATTGCTGAGAGAGGAGGAATTAGCCTTTCCCAGGGATGAGAGAGGAGGAAGTAGCCTTTCCCAGGGATGAGGCTCCTCATGGATTATTCCAGGCCAAGTGTTCAGTCCTAAAATCATGCACAAACAGGCAACACTAAACAGACTCAGCTAGCTGTGCTCATATATTTACTCATATTCATACATATAGACCACATAATAAAGAGAAAGGGGCGATAAATTTGGGGTAGGGTCGTGGCAGAAGGGGCTGGAGAGAGGAGCTAGGGGAATGATGTAATACTTTAATTAAAAAAATAGATATCTTTTAACTAGTGGAAAATAGGATTATGTGTGCATGGTAGTGCCCTCATATTAAGTGTTCACAGGAAGACCAGAAACAATGTGTCACAATGTCCTTGCTGAACAAGAAATGAGCGATAATGCTTCCTCCTTTTCCTCCTCCTCCCCTTCCTCTTCTTCCTCTGCTCGCTCATTCTTCTTTTTCTCAGTCCGGACATTTTTTTGGTATCTGTTTTTAACTGCCGAGGAGAAATGCAGGCTTGAGGCCTAAGGGAAAACAGTCTCATAAAATCCTGAGAGGATGTGGGGCGGGGTCTTCTGCACCGAGTTTGCTTGCTCAGCGCGGCGATTGTGCTTCCCCTTTCTTTAATTGTGATGCTTTCTGTGGAAATGGATGCTGCAGTTCTTCAGAGCACCACGTACTCCCTGTCTGCCTGGCCCCTCGACACAGCTGTTATCTGCCAGACCCAGGTAGGCTTGCAATTCTTTCACGGTAACACGCAGACTTTAGGGAGAATTGATCGCTGATGGTAGCAACTAAAGCCAACACATTAGTATAAAAGTTTTTCAGAAGCACACATGTATTCAATTAGAATGCTTATAAGAGTATGAAACTTTAATGGTGTAGGCACCACGAGGAGAACCTAGAATCTGGGACTCAGCAGTCCCTGGAGGCTTTAAACATTTGTTTTCCAACTGTACCGAAGAAAAAGTAAAGCACCTAGCACTGGTGAAAACCTAAGCTGATAGTGGGCTAACTGAGAAGGCAAATGGCTTCAAGCATTTCTTCTAAAACTCCCCTTCTTTGCACTGCCTTTTCTTCTCATATTTTTATAGAATTAGAGCTAGACATAAATCAGCAGGAGCTAGATTTTCCATGTAACTGGCTCTTTGTTTTGATGGCAACCTTTAGTCTATACTTTGAAAAACATACACTATTGTTTTGCGAATCTATTTCAGTAAGAGTACCGAAAGGGGCTGAAGTGATGGCTTGCTGCTTAGGAACATGGGCTGGTCTTCCTTGGGAACCGGGCTCCATCCACATCCTCTGTGACATCAGTCCCAGTGGATCCATCTCACTCAGGAGACCATGACAGTCTGGATCAGGTGTGGAGAGCTGTGCCATCTGTGGTCCAGAGACCTAAGAACTATCCCTGGCATCTCTGCAATGTCCTCCAGAGCAAGGTCTAGTAGTCATTGTGATTTAACTTCCCAGTTCTTGAACAAGGGTGGGATTGTAGGTCATTTATCTGAGAAACATTATTCTCGTCTGTCTTACACTGAGTGGCATGGTTGAAACTTATATATTCACCATTCAGGGCAGTGGGACAACAAGGCTAATCTTGGAGAGTCTGAGAAGGGACTGAGCTAACTGCCTGCTTTATACCACGTGCCTGTGACTTGAGCAGTGGGCAGGCACCTCGAGTCCCACTTTGCTGGCAATAAAATTGAATCCCACACAGCTTACTGTTGTAGAAGGATACCAATGTGAGAGGTTGGCGGGGTGAGGGAACTGGCCAGAGCTGGAGGTCAGACTGGCCAGCTGTCTCCAGATCACCCTTGCACCCCCTCCTCCAAGTGCGGAGGCTCCGGAAAAATGTAAAGTTGAACATACAAAAACCCTCTCTGGAGATTGAATTGATGCCTGCCAGGGGGTAGAAGGGAATAAAAAGGGAATTTACAAATCCATCAGGGAAAAGGGAACATTACCGAGCAAAGAGAGCAAGTTATAAATGAAAAGGGGCGGGAAATTAATGGGGACAAAAATAGATTAGAATTTGATGTGCTCCACAGGGTTTATACCACTTCCCAAGCAATTAGGAATAAAATGATGGACTCCCCAAGCCGCTGTTCCCTGGAGGAAAAGAAGGGAAGGTTTTCATTTGGGAGTGGGGTGAGGATCCAAAGACATAGGCCATGAGCTAGGTGGCCAGCTGGCCAGGTTTTCTGTTCTATACATGTCCCAAATTTGTAAAGAAAATACATGTCCGGTGGGGGGCAAGGGCAGAAAGAAGGGGAGTCCCTAGGAACCGGTCTTTGCTGTCTCTCCTTTTGCAGGTCCAAGGAAAGAACAGTAGGAAATACCAAGTCTTTTCAGAGTGGACAGAGTATCTTGTGTGAGCACTGCTAACGTGATAACAACTAGTAGATGGACGGAAGGGACTCCATTATCCACTGACCACATTCCTGAAGACTCTTCACATGATCTGAGCCACAGAGGCTCTCGAGTTTGTAATCCCAGGACCGAGGAGATGGAGGCAGGAGGAAGGAATGTGGAGGCTAGCCAGTTTGTTATCCCAGGGTAGAGGAGACAGAGGCAGCAGGACCATGGAGGTCAGCTAGCTGGCCAGTTGAGCTGACTGAGTTCCAGCTTCAGAGAGTGGTCCTGTCTCAAAGAAGCTGCTGAGTGCTTTAGGAGGACAATAGTCTTTGACCTCTGGCCTCTACACACATGTACACACACAACTATGAAGAAATGTGAACATACACATGGGCGTGTACACACGCACACCCAAAGCAGAAAAAGAAGATGGAAATAAAATTGCTGGGCACACTGTGTTTAATGAACCCTTAGAGCAGACCTTCATCATTGGGTATCAGTTGGTCGTTGCACACTAATAAAAAAGGACTCCAATACCCCTAATGTAATAGTTGAATTTTCTGCATATTTGCCATTGTCCCCTCTGGTGTGTGATTCCAGGTGGTCCCCTCCAGGATACACGCTCCCTCTTTTGGTAATTAAAATACAAGCTGCACCTGCCAGAAAGATGCACCTTCCTGCTGTCCCCACGGAGGGATCTGAAAGTAAATTACAAGCAACACAGCCATCTCTCTGGACTCTAGGAGAGCATTTTTGTCATGAGAGCTATAGATGCAAAAGAACTTCTGTATCTTAAAGATACAAGTGTTTTTAAACCCGGATACATACTGCAGAGAAATAGAGGTGTCATGTCATGATACAGTTGTATAGGGCCACAGACAGCAAAGCTTTTATGGATTTTAATACATGCTATCATTTAGAGAGGCACTTGCTGTAGTAATTCATAAATGAAATAGTACTTTGATTTCTGTGTCTCTAAGAAATAAATGACAAGACCGAAGGCTTCACGTGTTAGTTTACGGCACTAGCTTGTGTTCTTATGAACTGGTGGTTTTATGCTGTTTTTTCAGGTACTGATATTTTTCTCATCAGTTAGCGTGCCCTTAATGGAGCTGCTAGACCTTTGTCACAGGCTGTTTTCTGCAAACGAGGGATGTGTTTAATGTCAGAGAACTACTGGTTTCCCCAGGCACACTGTACATTTTCCCCGTGTGCCAGGGAGCGGGAGAGTGGACGATGTCTGTGCTGGGTCTGAGGCAACTAGGAGCCAAGACCTGCATAAATATGGAACTTAATTACAGCAATGAAGGCCTTGGAGATGGCTCCTAAATAATTTCCCATTTAACCTCAAAATACTCCTATTAAACAAGAATCAAGTATAATTACAATATTGACATTTTATAGATGGAGCTGCTGGGGTAAAGTAATATCAATATTCATTAGGTCAAATCGAGGTCCCGTGGAGTCTACGACTCCAAACTATTATTTTATGATAATACAGTGACACTCCATTTATCTGTCACCATCAGAAGAAAGAGGCAGGTCACAGAAGTTAATTTTCAGTTAAATAAAACTTCCCTGTTAAATACCAATTTTAAAAAAATCTTCTATAAAACTTACACAAAAAAATGTGACTGAACACATAGTTATCATTTTCTTACTCAAGGGAATCCCTTAAAATGATGAATTGGAGCCAAAAAGGAGGGATGGATTTGCACTTATATGCATGTATGAAATCCTCAAACTCTAAAAATTATATTAATCAAATTCAGATATTAAACACAACAAACAAGAAAAAATTTTAATTAATAGGGGGTGGCTAACAGGGAATTTATAACTGTTGGAGCGGGCCCTTAGAGGGTTTGACCAAGTGATGGTCTGTGGTCTGCGGATTGGCGGCAGAAGCATAGCTCCTCAGAACTTACTGAAAAAGTCAACTCATGAGTGCATTGCCAGACCTCCTGAGGTAGTTTCTGCCCTGTCACATGGTAGACCCCTGCCCAGACCCCGGAAGGAGCAGGACTAGGGGCTGATTTGACAGCGTTGACTGGAACAGCCCAACAGAGAGATCAGGTGAACATAATACCATTAAACCAGGTGCCAGCACCATCCAGCACCTACCATGGGCAAAGCCCTGCTAAGGCAGCCAGCTAAGGTTCCTGCTACAGTCCTTAGGACAGAGAGGTTTGGGACTAGCTGTTTTCAGTGACACAATGTTTTGTTGTCTTTGTTTTTGTTTTATTTATTTATTTATCTATCTGTCTATTTATTTATTTATTTATTTAATTTTTTGGTTTGTTGTTTTGTCTTGTTTTAGACAGATACCCACACTGGAGCACCAGACTGAGCTCCCAAGGTCCCAATGAGGAGCAGAAGGAGGGAGAACATGAGCAAGGAAGTCAGGACCACGAGGGGTGCACCCATCCACGGAGACAGTGGGGCTGATCTATTGGGAGCTCATAAAGGCCAGCTGGTCTATGACTGAAAAAGCAAGGGATAAAACCGGACTCTCTGAACATGGCGGACAATGAGGACTGATGAGAAGCCAAGGACAATGGCACGGGGTTTTGGTCCTACTTCATGTTCTGGCTTTGTGGGAGCCTAACCAATTTGGATGTTCACCTTCCTAGACCTGGATGGAGGGGGGACGACCTTGGATTTTCCACGGGGCAGGGAACCCTGACTGCTATTTGGACTGTAGAGGGAGGAGGAGAAAAGTGGGGGGAGGGAGAGAAGGGCGGGAGGAGGGGGAGGGAAATGGGAGGCTGGGAGGAGGCAGAAATTTTTTTTTTCTTTTCAATAAAAAAAAAGTACTGTAAGTTGCTTGTTTCTCCCTGTCACATGGACTAGGTGGGGGACTAGCCTGACACAGGAAAGGGCCTTGGAAGACATGAACACACTTGAGTCTGAGGAAAGAAAACCTTCATGTTCTCAGAGGCAGGGCTCAACAAGTACAAAAACTAAACTACAGCTTACCAGTATGCTTTATGTTGTAGAATACTGAAAAAAAATCTGGCTTTGGGGTTTGCTTTCCATGTGATAATTTTTAAATATACCATCTTAAAGAAAATTTACTTTTAATGAAGAATTGACATTCTATCAACTGAAGTTACACCAAAGTGGAACAAATACACTTTTAAATATTCAACAAGTGAAGTATATGAAATTATACTATAATTCAGCAATAATTCACTTCTCTGCTACGGAAGAGCAAAAGCCTCTAGATGTTAGGACTGGTCATGTGACTTATTCGATCTGTCACTCGTGAGTGCATGAACATATTATTCTGAGAAGAGGCTGTGTGTGTGTTCATGCGCGTGCACGTGTGTGTGTATGTGTGTATGTCCATCTGCGTGCACACGTGTGTGTGTGTATGTGTGTGTGTGCACTTGCTTGCCTTTCACCTTTTTTAATGTTTTCTGCTTGGCTATTCTGATAGAAAAAGAAATCTAAAAACAGTGGGGCGTTTGAAAATGAAATGGGGTAACCTCTCAGCAAAGGAAACTGAAAAGAAACATTAGAAGTAAAGACAAACAGAATAGACAAGGAAGCAAATGGAAGCCCAGAGCCACTTGGCCTTACCAGCCTCAGCATCTAGAGATTTTTTTTAAAGGTCTAACTAGAATAGTGACAGCAGGAACCAAGGTTCGTCTTCCCTTGGCCCCTCCGTTGTAGCTGCTATTTTGGTGCAATTTTCTGAGTTTATTTCTTTTTCTTACTGAATTGCCTTAATATCTTTGTTGAAAATGAATTTCTGTGTAGAGGCCTCACACTTTCCCTTCAGCTCTACTCTGTCGCTCTCAACCCCACGTCTGTGTAATTACTGTAACAGACAATCATTGCCAAGTCAACACTTCCTCCTAGTCCTAGTTTTCCTGATATTTTTATTATAAATATTTATGTTTTATACATATATATTCCGGGTTGACAAGTTTTCATAGCTCTACTTAGATAATCAGATAATTTGTTTTTAACCTATTATGATCAATTTCCCAATCGATTTTCAATTATTAATTAAACATTGCATTGTAGGATAAATTCCATTTGAGCTTGATAAGAACTACTATATTTTGTTAAGGATTTTGTATGTTCATGTAATAATGGATTTAAATATTTTTCTTGGGATATTGTCCTCCTCTTATTTTTTGGGGGGGGGGGGGTCTTGTTACATGACCTAGACTAGCCGAAAATTCAATACTGTCCTACCTTAGTCTCAGAAATTGCTAGGATTGCAGGTGTAAATCATCATGCTAGCTTTTTTTAGTGATGTTTTGTCCGATTTCAATATTGCATATGCAAGCCTTTAACAAAATGAAGGTTTTCTTCCTCCATATTCTGAAGATTCATTTGTGACCATAATCATGGCTTCTTTTGTGTAGCTGATAGAATTTACCCCTGAAGCATATAGAGAAAGGCTTTTGTGTATGGCAGGAGTATTTTCCTGAAACTATCAACTTATTTTTATGTAATATTTTTATTTATTCTTTAAAATTTTTGAACATTATATTTTGATCATATTCAATCAATTTAGCTTTAAGATATATGACTACTTATATTTTCTATATTTTTAATATCAATATTTATGTATTGTAATTTCACCTAAGTTAAATTCTTGGTATGACATTTTAAATTAATACTTCAATATCTACCATGTCATATTGTTACATTAATGAAAATATAAGTATATTTTAATATCCTAACATTTCACTTTAACAAGAGGACATTTAAATGGAAAAATCTATAAGACTATGAAAATACTAAGTTATTCATAAAATTACCAACTACCTTTGGAATTCTTGTCCAGTCTTAAAAATGGAAAATACATGATTTGAAAAATACAGATTTCTTTCTAATCATATTGTCTTAATAAATTTCAAAAGACTGATTTTAATACTTGTGAAAAAACTTGCCATTATGCTACTAAATTTAGAACTTTTGTTACTATTGTCATCAGTAAAATTTTCCAGTTATAATTTTATATCCTTTTCATCCTTATCCAAATCCTTAAGATCCTTTCTCATGCACACGCTCCACCTCCCAGATCTGAACACTCACCTGCAAGAGTTATACCTTGTAATTTATTCTCTCTTTCTCTCTCTCTCTCTCTCTCTCTCTCTCTCTCTCTCTCTCTCTCTCTCTGTGTGTGTGTGATCTGTCTCATGGGCTATAGTTCTTAATATCTTCCTTGAGGCATGCTGGGATTTAGTGTACTAAATGTAATGAGAAAGTGTAGGGAAAGGTTTTGAGGATGATCAGAATCTCCCAGCAACATGGAGCCACCTTTATAAGTTCTTTAGGGAAAGGAAGGCTCATCTCCTCACGAGAGGGAGGCAAGCACTTGGTAACAGATGGCTCTTGGCACAGTTCAGTGTCCTAGCTTCATCTGAGTTTCCCCGTGTATCCTCACTTTAAATCCTGACATTCTATTCCTTACCAGCTAATGCCCTAAATTTGACACAAAGAGTTTCTGTAAGCTTGCAAATTCAATTTGCTTCATAATTCAGTGACCCACATGATTAAACATGGGAAGTTTTCTATTTTGAGACCTCACCTGGAAGCTGAAAGATCATAAATTCCTTTATGCTAGCCATGGTTGTTTTATAGGCATGTTTTTAGAGCTGGAAATGTGACATTTTGACTCCTTATTTTATTTCTCCCATCTGTCTCCATCTCTCCACTAGCTGTAATCAACAAGTTACACAGTTGGCTTTCATTGCTTCCTCTAAATGGTCTGTGCCAGCAGTCGCCAGTCAGTCTCAGTCTTTCCTTCCATGGTCCTTTGAGTCCTGGTGGCTTCCTAAGATGCTGAAAACAGCTATGCTGCTGCAGCTGTCACAGGGACTGCGTTACCTCACCCATGCCTTCCACTTGATACTCAAAATAGACTCAGTCTAGAGATTCTCCTTAGATTTTGCTTAACTCGAACCCTCTTTCCAACAAATAACTGTGCCATTAAGAGTTTAGTCAGAGAAGCAAAGAGATGCAGAATTTAAAGGGACAAAGCATTTACCATACAAATGACATTGCAAAGAAAAATATGGTGTGGGAAGGCAGGCGATTAGAGAAAATGGCTCTCGTGTCTAGTGAACAGGTTAGAACATTGCAAGGGACATAAAAGCCAAAATGGAGGTATCTTAGGGTTTCTGTTGCTGTGGAGAGACACCATGAGCACAGCACCTGTTATAAAGGAAACTATTTAATTGTGTGGCTCGCCTACAGTTCAGAGGCTCAGTCCCTTATCATCATGGTGGGATATGGAGGCACGCAGGCAGACATGGAGCTGAGAGTTCTACATCTTGCAGGCAATAGGAAATGAGCTGAGATACTGGGTGGTATTTTGATTATATATGAGACCTCAAAACCCACCTCCACAGTGACACTCTTCCTGTAACAAGGCCCCTCCTACTCCAACAGAGCCACATACCTTTGTATGGGGGCCATTTTCTTTTAAACCACCACAGTAGGTAATTAAGATTCAAAATATTGGAAAACATATAGAAGAGGATGGAAAAGCTACTGTACCCATGGATCCACACCTATGAGTCTCCACTGGAAGTAGACTGATCTGTGGTTGGCCAGAAGATAGGTAGAAGTAGACACGGAGTAGGGAGTAAGGACAAGCGAGAACATGAGAGGTACCATCTCCTCCTGTTCCTCAGTGTGCCAACCTGTTAAAAGCTTCAGAGAGTCATCTTTCACCTCCACTTCCCAGCTCTCATGCAAGGTCTTATCTTAGCAGCTGTGTCCCAAAACCATGCACACAGGTGCTCTGGAAAGTATGGTGCTTCTAGAGGGCAAACCAGAACATAGGTCTTGAATACCATTTCTTTCCCCGTTGCCAAGTTATTTCCAAAATCAAGAGGCATGATACCAATTCTACTCCCACAGATTTTACTAATGAGTTTTTAAGTGCTGAGCAAATACTTCTGGATGACTTCCAGGTAAATATTGAAATGATACATGCATGAATCAAATTATTTATACAGAAGAATTTCAAACTCAATTGCCTCAAGGCAGTATCACCTACATGTATATGCCAATCAGAACATGACTGAAAGACTTAATTGCTACAATGGTTATCATGAGCCAGTGGGTTGCACAAAAATTTTTTTTCTGGTAGCTTAGTATGAATATGTATTATTTTATATCAGAAGTTTCAAAAATTAAAAGCAAAACATTTTATTTTGTCTTTATTTGCAACTAAATGCTCAATGGCATATATACAAATAGTCAACATTAGATTTATTCTATTGCATTTATAATCTAGGACTTTAAGCTTCTGAGTCATAATCAGTTGAGTTCCTGGTTTTGCATTTTAGAAATGGATCAATGGCCCCATTTCCTTTCTACCCTCTCCACCACTGGTGATATCATAGGATAAAAAAAGGCTTATTTATTTCATTTAGATGAAACTGTCTCTTATTTTGTTTTACATAATGAAAACACCAACTTTCTTCTTTAAAGAAAATCATGACTTCAGGCTTTGATGTGGGATAAAGGCACAGATTGCCGTAGGAAAGATTAGCTGCTCCTGGCTGGACCGCTATCCTCTAAATCTCCAGATACCAGAGCCAAGTGCCTGGCCTTTTGACATGGTATTTGAATTTGGCTACTGGGAAGAAAGGATAAAAATCGAACAGCTATGTGTTGGTTTCATCTTCGGGTTAGAGGCTAGGGAGATGGCTTTCTGTACCCCTCTGGGAACAC